CCCGAAACGTCAGCTTTCCTGCTCTTCTGCTGCTTGGCCTGCTGTGTTCATCCAGCTCTACACCTTGTTATCTCTGTATATTTAAAGTAAATTTTTATGAATACATTGTCACAAATTGTAGTTCGTTTCTGTATAGTTGCATGTCAAATAAACCAACAAAACAGTGGACTTTGACTCTATCAAAAAAAGCCTCTCTCATACATACATTTACTAATATTTATGTATATTGGAGACACTGGGAGGGTCCAATAACTGAATGGACCCCCATTTAAGTTCAGAAAGACCTCAGACAGTGGTCTTTTCCTACTGTGCCTTGGCAGGAGCTGCCCCAAGCTTTCACTAAGTCCCTCAGCACATAGTCCTGGAGCTTAATGATTTCAGCAGAGTGAATAAGACAAAGTGGTTACATCTCCTGAAGGAGACTAACCAACTTGCTGAGTGTTTCCAACAGTTCACCATCTTCACAGTCACTATTACTGGTCACAGCTTTTGAGTTTTTCAGTTTTTTTTTGTACAGTGCAAATTCTTAAATGATCATGGGCTTGGCAATCTCATTCATGTCATTGTCCAATCATCTATATCTCAGAGAATATTTGTCTCTCTATTGAATTCATCTATGTTGTAACTTCAAATGCTTTTTTCCTTGCCTATAATTCAAAGTCATTATAAATTCATTCACCTGAAACCAGCTGCCAAGTTTGAAGAGTTATTACCCTTTATTTCCTCCTGAAATGATGCTCTTGTGTTCCCTGGAGAGGAACATAGCCCAGCTCCTTCAGTACACACAGGGGACATGTATTTTTAGACCAGTTGTTCTGATTTGAATAGTTCACCTCTTGGTTTGACAGTTGTCAGGAAAGTGGATTCACCAGAATCCCCTCCAAAGGGGGCGGCATGGTGGCTCAGTGGTTAACACTGCTCCCTGACAGTGTCAAGGACCCGGGTTTGATTTCACCCTCTGGCAACTGCCTGTCTCGTGTTTGCACGTTCTCCTCGTGTCTGCGTGGACTTCCTCCGGGTTCTCCGGTTTCCTCCCACAGTCCAAAGATGTGCACTGGGAGAATGTCTGTTCTGTCTGTCGCACGTAACCCAGGACTGGAATTGAACCTGGATCCCTGTGCTGTGAGGTGGCAGTGCTAACCACTGTACTGCCCAAGTCTGAATATTATAGCAGCATGCAACCATTGCAATGCATGTGCATACAAGAGTGTGCACACCACATGCACATGTGCATTTCAAAGTGGGAGGATAGATTAAGTAGTTTTGAAGGCTCAGGTCCTCGAGTGTTGGAAAACCTGTTCCCAGATGCTGAACGCTCAAATAAAAAAGTACTTGGTTACCTTTTCAAGGACTTCATTGTGTGGAGGTTTGGTCCAGGAGCTTTCCCAGATCAGAACTCCACGCAGTCAGCTGCTGAGTGGATTGGCATTGAAACCATGTCCTTTTTTTTTTTTGGCATTGCCTGGGGTATTCCAAGATTTGAATGTCCTGAAACTATTTTAGATGTGGAGAGAAAGTAGTAAATTGTGAATGGTGTCAAGTGGGTGGGAGGTAGGGTAGCTGGTAAATGGGTGTGTGTGTGTATAGGGTAGATTGGGACAGCTTATGATATTGAGGATGGTCTTGGGGATTGGTAGTGGGAGTACATGTGCAGAGATAGGATTTCATGTTGGAGAGGAGGGAGATGAATCTGCGCTGGTTGTGGTGGTGAGGGGAATTGGTATCTGAGGTGGTGGTAAAGTCCTGATGCGTGTGTCGATGAGACTCTGGGGCTGGTCCCTGATGGGTGTAGGGGTGTCATTGTGGTCAGACAGGTTGGTGGGAGGCATGGTTGGCAGGGATTCGGTGTCTGAGGTGGACGGTCAGATGTCGATTTTGGGTTGGGGTGACTGACTTGACACTCTCCTGACAAGATATTTCAAAATCTCCAAAGCTAACTCAGCGCTGAGACTTTTTCAGAGGATTCTCGATGTTTGGTCATTCTAGGATGTATTTTCAAACTGCTGGACAATTCCTGGGGAGTCAGTTATATTAAGACTTTTTGACACTCAGCTCCTGCCTCTGCTGTGCGATGGCGATCTTCCTACTGGAAAATCTGCTACTCCAAAGAAAAACCTGTTCTATAAAAGTTAAGTAGATTGATGCTTTGGATGGGTTCAGGGGTCTTTCTGAGTTCTTTAGAAAGATTCAAAGATGTTACTGATTAATTTCTACTTGGTTTCCTGGAGACAGTAGCTACTGGGTTGGTTTTTATACAGTCATGGCACATGACTGATCAAGCAGAGTTTGTATTTGCAGAGTGCATAAAGATAGGGCCTACTCTCGGATCATCAGCTTTGGTGTCTCCTCTTCTGACTTTAACCTGGAGAAATACAGCTTGATGAGCTACTTCTTTCTTTTTCTATTAGTTATCTCCCAATCCTCGCTCATTGCTTGACTATTTACCCAAAGATGGAAGTGTTGTTATAACTTTGGTTAAGCCACAGATGGAATTCTGTGCAGTTCTGGTTGCTACAGTATAGGAAGAATATGATTGCACTGGGTTCAGAGGAGATTCACCAGGATATTTCCTGGGATGAAAAGCCTCAGTCATGAGGAGAGACTGGATAGGCTTGGTTTGTTTTCCTTGGAGCAGAGGACGCTGAGGGGGGCGTGGAATCCGATTTAAGGTATACAAAATTTGAGAGGCATTGACAGTTGATCATGAGAATCTTTTATTAACGGCAGATGTATCTTAAGACCAGAGATCATTAGGTTTAAAGTGTGGAATAAATGGTTTAGAGGGTATCTAAAGAAAATATTTTTCACCCAGAGGGTGATAGAAATACAAAACATGCTGCTGGAGAGAGCAGTGGGGACAGGTAGTGTCACAACACTGAAGGAGCTTCTGGCTGATCACTTAAAATGCCGGAGCCTAGTGGGCTTTGGGCCAAGTGTAGGTAAACTGGAATAGTGTAGTTGGTGTTTGTTGGTTAGTATAGCTGAAGGGGCCTGACTCGATGGTCCCAGCGAGTTGATTGCATGGTTTAGACCTGATTTAGATTATGCCTGGAAGAATGGCTGAGAGGCAATGTGATTGTCTAATGATTTGTTCCATGCTCCATTGAACACATGTTCTGTTAGAATGCCTTTGGAAAAGGTTGGAAAATACAATCATTCATATTCCTGTAAGGTGATTGCCTCTGCCTCTGTGTTCTTCTCGACAGCTTGACTCCATTGTAATGGTTTGGGATTTGGTAGGGTACATTTTTTGCAAATGTTCAGCCATCTTAGAAGCTGCCATTGTAAGTCACTAATGCTGTTGTTCAATATTTTTAAAACTTAGCCGGTGTTTTCAGCCTAATAACAAAAGTGACAAATGTATTTATTTATAAAACAGCTTTGTAACAAGATATATGTTTAGGTGTTGTTAGCAATACATGTGCATGTGTTTTTATACATCAATGTAGATATCTGTGAACGTATGCACTACATGTATATGATTTTAAATTCCAGGATTGTGTTTTTTTTTTGCAAAATGTACAGGCTCCTCCTCTTCACCATCCTTTTTATACCAGCTTTGCTATTGTTTTAGGAAATCAATTCCAACATAACTTTTGTGTTCCTATCACTGTACATTATCCGACATGCACATTTTCCAAGTCAGCCCCTTGGTGGGTTATTGAAGAGTGGAGACCACCAATAATGTCAATAAGATAGGAAACATCAAATGGCTCCAAAGAAATAATTAAAAGCAAATTTACAAGCAAACTGCAGCAAGCCTAGAGCCATCACATTGATATTGCATTGATTCTAAACACCAACCTGATTTTGTAATGCAATTATATTGTGTCAAGTCACAAGTAGACTGGCACAAAGCAATGACTCTGCATTTTCAGGATGCATCAAGGCCATCTCATGGCAGAATGTGTAACCTAATAAAAACCATGGGTGTCTAGCAATTGGAATGATGTCAGCCAGGTGAACCTCATAGAATAAAAGTTCCTTGATTGGATCAGGTTAACACCCAATCAGGGAGCCCTGGCTGACAAATACAAAGTGTCAGGGGTTCTGTTTGCTCTAGGGGCTGGCTCTGTGCTAGCTGGGTCAGTGTCACGTGCCATCCATGTGTAAATAAAGGGTGAATCGGTGATTGGATACCGGCCTCTCTGGAGTTATTTCTGTCCACGCTGCTCTCGGGTCAATGGCGTATGAGCCAGTTAGTTTCGTGGAATGTTGTTAATGATAGGAGTAGACTGCTGGAAAAGCCTCAAATGAGGTAAATAGGCCTTTAAAGATGACCTGGAAAAACAAAAAAGAACAGTCCAAGCTTAATATAGTCAAAATTAGAAACAAATGTTAATCTCCAACCCAAGAAGGTTATGTTGCCTCTGAAGAAATGTCCTTCCCTTAGCCTGCACTTTGTGGCTTGCGGTTTCCCTGGATTGCCTAAAGCAGCCTTTGGGCCATATCAGATTGTGTCCCTGTGTGGCTGTGTAATGAG